TTTCAACTGATCTTGTTTGATAGACGTTTTATATGGAGGTCTCAAAATGTATGCAATTTACAGGCCATAAGAACACCAAGTTCAAATTCAATTGCATAAAGTCATTTCATACATTTTAATAATATTCAAACCCGTTTTGAAGCCATCAAATTAATTTTCAACTATAATTTGAAAACCATTTAAAATTTAAAACAATAAATGCCTTTCAAACTTTAGTATAATAGAATTTTGTGAAGATATATCGGTTTTTATGGAATAACTTTACATAATTCTTCTATCTCATTTAAATACTACCAAAAGAGTGTCTTTTAGTCCCGTCAAGAACTAAACTTGAAAACATTTTAGATAAATTCGAAGGAAAACCAAACGTTTCAGCTAGTAAATTTTTATAATAAGATTTTATCTACAATGGCCGTGAAACGTAAGTCCAAAATCAACAAATGGTGGAGTTTCTGGAAAGAGATAAGTTCGCACAAAATCGTAGATCACGCACACAGAACAGAAATTGCAGAGGATTTTCGCACACCAACAGGCTGTTTTAAATTTTATATGTTCTTTTCAGAGTTTTCAGCACAATTGAAAAAAAATATTAACAAAAAAAACGGGGGGATTACACTTTTCTTGTTTTACAACTGGTCCGATGAGATTCGGGAGACACTAATCGAGAAGTAAGGATGTTCTTGGTACTACTACTGAGCTGGAACCAAAGTCGCGCCAACGTAACGCACACGCAAACGCCTCACGTTGAACTGAATCTGAATACTGAGTTGGAAACTCAAAAGCCCCGCAACTGGCAAGCGTTCGTTGAGCAGGCGTAGCGGAATTGCTCGGAAGGCACACGAGCATGGAAGCCCGATTGTCGATGGCCGATTGCCGAGTTCCGAGTGCCAAAAGTTAGGAGCCGAGTGCGACGACATCAGAAAAGCCGAACGAACAGCCAACCAGATGATGGCTGAAGTTGCCAAAGGCTTAAGTTGCAACATGTTGCTGCTGGCCGCCGAAAAAACTAAGCATGTTGCCGGAATATCAAGCGAAGCAACCAGAATATGCATAGATATTATATTAACATAATAAAAGTATTTTTAAAAATTATTTATTTGGGAAAAAAGTACTAAACAGGTGGTGGAAAGAATTTGTCAGTGTTTTAGTTGCAACATGTGGCTGTTGCAAGTTGCAGGAATGTCAAAATAAAAATACAAATTAATAATCTTTATAATTAAATAAAATAAAATTTAAATTAATTACATAATCAAGTTAAATAGACTAATCAGGCTTTACAACATGTTGCCAAAGGTATGGTTTGAAAAATTGGTAAACTACAATTTGTTGCGCTTGCGCCGTCGGAGGTTTTCAAATTTCAACTTTTAAAAATTGCTTCTGGTAAATATTGTATTTTACTTTTTTATGCACCATTTTTAGAATTTTATGTAGACAACAAAACAAGCAGCAGCAGCAAAAGGAAGCAACACCGACGCGCCAAGTTTTTCGCTTTTCCCTTGCAACACAAATTACGTTTATGCGCAAAAAACAAATTTTTTGAAAAAAATATTGCCAAAACAATGAATAATTATTTATAAATGATTATAAATAAATTAGTGGCCTATTTTCTTATCAGCAATATTTCGACCCCTTATTATTTTGAAAATAACCTCTTTTGATTAAAAATTTTAGAAATGAAATAGAAAAAAAAAGCCTAATAATTTTTGTAATTGGTAAGGTCAATTGAAAACCCATTCTAGGTATATTACAAATAGAACCCGTGTAAACACACCGACAGACACACACACGCACACACCCAAGCGAAGCTCATCAGACATGCACAACTCCCCCGTGGGGCGGGGGGCGTGGCAGGGGCTGGCATTGTTTGCTGTTATGCTTTTTTATGATTTCAACAGATTTTTCGCAGGTCTTGCAAGCCGAAGGGTAGTTGAAAATTATAGAATTTTTTCCTATGATTTTTTTTGTTTGAAGAAAAAATTTGTAATTAGAATTGTTTAAAAATAAGTACAAAATATTGCAAAATTTTATGTATTATTTAATAATGACTGACATATGGCTAACCGAGAAACACTGCATACCCATTTACCTATTTTAATGATTACGTAATGTTCGAACAATTTATGGCTCATAGAAGATGATTTAGGACACACGTCAACAGAAGTGAACAATAAATTTAGCTTTTTAAAAAGCTTAGAAGACAAAAGTGAAAACTATAAATATATGAATGAAATATTTAGAATATCAGTTATTTCTTTGAATTTCTATAATTTAAAAAATATAATTTTTTTTCCTTATTTTTTAAAGGGTATCTTCTGGTCTCCTTTCCGATTTCCTATACCCACCATTCTATATTTTGTCTTCCCCTTCTTTTGTTTTGCCATTTGCTGGTTTGTGTACTTCTTTCTTGGCTTAATTTTCGCCCTTTTTGGCGCTTGGCGAGAAAAGAAAAGCGTTGGCTGGCAAATTCAATTTGCATATGTGTGGCCACCTAGATGTTGCCCACTTTCCTTGTCCATTTGTGCATTGTTTTTTGTATTTTTTTTTATATTTTACTGGTACTTGTGTGTGGTTGCTGGGTGAGCACATTGAAATCTGCAGCCATTTAACACAGTTCAGGCAAACTGAAGCCGCTAATTGACTCGCGGGCAAAAGCAAGAAAAACAAATAAAAATAGGGGAAGGGAAAAGTGCAAGTTGTCTTTGCCAAATTTAATCAACAAAAACCCAATGCAGCCGCAAAAGCACACAAAAAATACACATATGGCTCATAAATTCAACTTTGAATACCAAATTACAAAATGGGCGAGGGCAAAAAAAGTAAGGGGTAGTAATTAGATTTCCCAACTACATACATTGCATAATGATAAAAGCAGAGCCGCACTAAAAACTCAACTCAAAATACAATTCAAGCTTCAAGTGCAAGCTGTGCACAGCACATTGACGCACTTTCGAAACCATCCGAAAAAAGTCGCGGAAGTTTCAGATTTCAGAATGACAACAACAACAAAAGTAGAGAATACGTAGGGTGTAGAAACATAAAGCAAATAGCTGCATTGAAATCCACGAATATTGCCTTCATTAACCCAAATGGCAAAAAAGGGCAACCGAACTGAAGAATCCGACTCAAGGTCTCTTTTGTTTGGCTGATGGCCAAGAAATCGAATTCGAGCTCAATTAAAAATATATATACTTTTTTATCAGTGGAAAACAAATGAAAGGGTTGTCAAAGCAAGAAAACTTTATACTTCCGTTTTTCGTATCTATTTTACTCTTGATAACAGAACCATATATCATGTTAGTAATTTTTTTATATATATTTTATTTTGTAGAATGGTAATTATAGATTATTATTAAGCCCAGTATTATTCAAAGAAATGAAGTAAGCCACCTTAAAAAACTAACTATCCCAACTAATTCCAACGCATCCCATTTTCCACCCCATTTTCTTAGCTTCTTTTTTCGGATGCCCTGGAGTGGAGTGTTGAAAATTCATTAAATTTCCAAGGACACAACTTTTTTTTATTTGGAGCTTGGTGCGTGTGTGCCGTTTGGTGGGTGGCGACCTCTGGCATTGCATTTAATCTCGTTGACAGCACTTAACACGCCCCCAAAAGTAGTAAAAGCGAGCTGGGAATCTGCGAGCTTGGATATAAGGAGTCAGGACTCGGGATTCGGGATTTCGGGGTGGTTCTTGTTGTTCTTGCACTGCAAGAGGATTATTTAAGTTTATAATACGCTTAGGGGTAATTTTAATCTGTTGCAAATTGTTTTTGCTGTTAGCTGTCGACACAACACACGCACACACACACACACACTCTCTATGGACACACACTGCTTGTCAGACCCCAAATCACCATCTATATAACATATTTTTTCTCTCGCTGCGCTCCCGACTTTTGTGGCATATTTCATGGATATTGTAATCTGGTTTTTTGGGTTGCTAGAATTGCGGTCTGCGGATGGATGTGGATGTGGGTGGGAAGTTGGTTTGTAATTTCACTTTTTGGTAGAACGCTTGTTTCGCCTTTTTGTCTCCGCTACTATTTACATTTATGTTTTTGTTCCTTTTTTTGTATTCGTTTCCTTTCTCGCTGCAATTTGCACAGCATGAGGTTGGTTGAGTTGGAAAGAGGAGAATATCGGGGGTGGTAAGCTGATGTTCAGGGTCAATGGGAGGACGCGATTGTGCGAAATTTGAATACATTTCATTTGGCAAAGGTTTCCAGAAGTGGAACACGTCAAATTGGAACCGATCTTAGTAATATTAAGAAATATTAATATGAAATTTGTTAATGGAATGCGGAAAATGCACAACAGTAAATTTCCCAATAATTTCCCAATTCCCTTCCTCAATAAAAACTAAAATATTAAGCATTACTGCCAAATCTGCCTGCCGGAATGCCTTTAATTTAACCAAAATGGATGAATGGGAAAGCATTCGATTATGTGCCAAAAGACGCCGCCTTGGTGGAGACCACAGAATTCGTATGCATTGCAAATCCATTAGAAAATCAAATATTTAACCCAATTGACTGCCTGCGATAGAAAACTTAATTCAAGTCGAAAGAACGAAACAACGAGAGCCAAAGGCCATAAATAAAATACAAAAGATATTACAAAGAAAAAAATCAACCGAAAGGCATGTGTGGCACTCAGTGGAAATATTCGTTTATCGGGCCAATTAATATGCGGAATTTATTTGGCCATTACAGAGAGCATAGTTCTGAATGAGCGGACGAACCACTCTGAACGACCGCAGAACGCAGACACTAGAGCAATGAGATCACCCGGGCAACAAAGCAAACCGAAATAAAAGACGCGAATTCTTGAGCTTCAGTATCAGAACTTCGATATTTCCAAACTAAAAGTCTTGTATAAAAATATTACTATCGAAAAACAATCGAATACTTTTGCCGAACCTTTGTTAAACCCGTACCGGAATCATATAACCAAATAATAAATAATCGAACGAAATGAAGCAACATAATCGAAATAACTTACCTGAGTTTTGCTCAGGCTGTTCATTGTCTGTTATAGGCTCTTCAGGTTCTGGTTCTGGTTCAGGTTCAGGCTCAGGCTCAGGTTCAGGTTCAGGTTCCGGTTCAGGCTGAGGTTGCGGCTGCGGCTGAGGCTGAGACTCTTCTACTTCGTACCGTTGACAACCAGCCTCGTCCGTCTGATCCTCACAATCGTATCGATTATCGCAGCGCTTATTGAGCGGCAGACACTTGTTATCGCACTTGAACTGAAGTTCGTTGCAAACTGAGGAGCGCCAAATTAAAAGGAAGTAGGAAAAAAACAAATCAAAATTAAAATCAAAGCAATAGAATAAGCCAAATAAAATGAAAATGAACGATCGAACCGGGCAAATTCTAAATGTATGATACGTTGACTTTTTAATGGGATATAGGGCTGCAAAAGTATCAACTTTAGATTGAACATTAGGCGCGAATTCTTAAGTCCATTAGCAGAACATTAAAAATAAATCCCAAATCTTAAATCAAAAATAGTCGACTCTTTTGCAGCTCTATTTATGGTGATCATAAGAAATCTTGAGCTACAAGATGACCCCCTTAAGTACAGAGATATGGAGATTAGACGATGCGGAACGATCGATTATGAGCTGGGAGGTCTTTGGAGATGATCGGTTATTGAACTCGTAGGACATTTACCCTCGCAGCCTTCCTCGTCCTCGGCATCGGGACAATCGCGAGATCCATCGCATCGCATTTCATCGCAAATAGTCTTTCCACTCCTTCGACACTGGAAGGTGGCATCGCCGCGACAGCTACCGGAATCTTGGCCGGAGCCCTCCACCTCATCCGTGGGCAATGCAACTTCGATAGGATCCTCATCGAATTCTGTGAGGTCAAAAAGTGGATTAGTTTCTGGGGACTTGGAAGTTCTGGGCAATTTCCCAAAACAAGACGTAGAGACAGAATTGGAGACAGAGATCACAGAAATATGGAGACAGAGTGGAGCTGGTGAAGCATGAAGCGGCACAAATTCGATGATGAGAGACGTTCACAGATTTCAAGGGGTCACAAGATAACGCACACACACACAGGTCATATTCTTAAGCACACATAGAGGTCCACTCCGGATTTACTATAATATCTCACCATTTTTCAAACCAATTTGAATTGAACTAAGACAACTAATACAAAACACAGAACTACATAAGATGAGCTAGCTATGTAGTTTAAAATATCACATCTAAATGTTATTTGGTTGGAAATTCCCTTCAAACTTAAAATTCAATACCTGATTTAAGAAAATAATGAGATAATATAAGCCAAAGCAGACCCAAAGATTATTTTAGCGCTATTTAAGAGATAGTTGTTTTTTTTTCGCGTTTCGAAAATTGCCGGGTTAGTCACATCAATACATAGGCAATCTCGTTACTTTCGGCTCGTTGTCTTCCTTGGATATGTGGACAAACCTTGGGGTGCTTCGACTGGTTTTTCAGTTATCGGTTGTCCAGATACAATTACTCTCGGTGTCACAATATCGTATTGGTGTTCGTATTTGTAGACTTTCGGGGTTATGGATAAAGAAAAAGTGTTGATTTCCGTGATTTGGATTGAGGGAAAGGGATGCAAGCTTCAGTTTAGTTAAACAATTACTAGATATTGTTTTCTTTATTTTCGAATATGAAAAAAATTACGATGGCATACTTTTGAGGCCTTTATAAGTGATTTAAAAACTCTAGATATTTTTATTTAACATTTTTAACAACTAGTTTGCATCCCTTTTTCGGAAAATTGGAAGGCATAGGTTTCTACAAGCGGCATCTCACACCAAAGCAACGCAGATTGCAGGAAAAGAGAGAGGAGCTTTGGATTAAGTGGATCCTTAAGAACTTACCGCTCGATTCGGTAAAGGTGAAGACGCCATCGGTACTGGCACCCAAACGATCGATTCGCTTGTAGACATTCAGTTGTTGCTCCAACTTACTTCCAAAGTCGTTGATTGAACTGGGCAGATCTACCCTAAGTTGCACGCGAATTTTAAAATGGTCCTTGGTTTGACTGTAGAGGTGATAAATTTGATTAGAAATTCTTTGCATTATATAATAATATTAAATATTTTTATACTCACTCGACTCGCTCTAGGGTGCTATGGATTTCCTGCTCTTCATCATCGTTATTTTCGAAATTGCGATTGAAGAAGTTGCGCAGGTCCTCGTCAAGAAGTTTTTGCAGATTCTGGAACTGGAGGCTGTCCCGCTCCTTGTAGTCGTCTGAATATGGCTCATTAACAACAAAGTAGGTGCGATCTAAGGGGATAAATATAAAAATAATTAAAAATTAATACAAATCCTAAAGAATTCGCGTTCTGTATTTTTTTAATTTCAGATATTTAGCCAGATAATTTACTGAAATTGTTTACTCACAGGTGGTGGTTTCCTCCTCGTTTAGGCCAGATGCCTCGTTCTCGTCGTAAAGGTCGGATGCCCGCTTGCGGGGATCGGTGACGCGATTGAAGACCACGTGATTGTTCCGCTTGGCAAGGCGCTGCCTCTCCTGGCGCTCCAATCGCAGCTGCTTCTCGCGGTTCTGGCTCTCCTTTTGCTGGCGCCGAAGTTCCTTTTGCCGGTTGGCGGCATCGCGATTATTTTGCCTTTGCCTCTGACGCTCACGTTCCTTTTCCTGATCATCGTCGTCGGAGCCGAAGAAGCTATTTAGGGAGCGGCGAACACGATGGAGCCCCTGGCTCCACCAGTTGCCCTCCGGCGTGAACTTCTTATCCAACTTCTCTTCGGAATCCGGAGGAATCAGGAACGCTTCGTCATCGTCAAGGTCAACGCTGCCCTGCAGCGATTGTGTGTCGGCCAGTATAAAGTCCTGGTCATCAACTTTACTTTTCGTAATTTGCTAAAACGATAAGATTAATATACATTAATAATGATACATTATTAAATAATACAAATTGGAAAATTGGAATCCATATTTTTCAGCCTAAGATATCAGTTTTTTATTCATAATAATGCAAATAATGATCCAAACATGGAGTGTCATACCTCGATGAGCTCGTAATTAAATTCCCAATCGATTGACATTCAAACCTAGAAATTTTTAAATTTGACAATTTTTTGCAAAAAAAAGTGATGTCACCCCTTGTCAAAAATGTGAAAATTTATCAAAAAAAATAAATTTTCCAGAAAATGATGGGGATGGTTAGTTTAGGTCGTTAGCTGTTAAAAACAGCCGGTCTTTTGATTGTACGCCTTGAATTGTCTGAGATAGGACTAAAAAACCATCAAAACACCATTTTCGACGTAGATTCAAATTCATATTTTCTTCGAAAATTCGAATCCATATTTTTGACCCTAAAATCTCAGTTACTGATCCAAATATGGAGTGTCAATCGATTGGCATTCAAACCTAGAAATTTTCACTTATTGTATTTTTTTTCCAAAAAATTGTTATCAAAAATGCAAAAATTGGTGAAAAATTAAATTTTTCCTAAGGTGATGGGAATCGTTAGTTATCAGCACAAACTAATTATAAAATGCGAAGCCCTGCAATTAATTGCTTTCAAAGCTGCACAGTTTTTCCCTCATTTTCCTAAACCACCCTTTTTTCCAACAGCTTTCTCGTACTTTTTTGCGTTTTTCCGGGCAGGAAACTTTTCATTTCGGTTTCTGTCCTTGCTAAGCAATGAAATGCGGGCTGCAGTTTGAGAAGCACTGTGTCTCGGCTAGATTTTCCCCACAATTGCGGAACATAACATCGCTGTTAGATTTAACATTATTTGGAGCTTGGAAAATTGACTTTATCTTTGGGAGTTCTATTATCTAAATTTGACTTTTTTTAGGCTTAAAAATAAAAACATTTGGTTTTTTATACACAATCACCTAAGCGTTTAAGTTCCAGTAAACCCATTAAGAATTTCAGGCGTTGAGCTTACCAGTGCTCCATTTATTATCATTTTTCCTTACATGTGAACCCCCTTTTAATTCCTTCTAGTCCCTCACCCCTATTTTTACCCACTTCCGATCTATTTTGGTCGACTTTTTAATTGAGCATTGATTTCAAGTGTCAATTTCTTTTCATTTCTTTTACGGTCATCGGTTCTGGCACTATTTTCGATTTACCCCAGCCCAGAGTTTTTTTATAACTCCCCCAACCCATTGTTGTTTTGAGTGGAAGTGTCAGGAAAAGACGCGTGCTACGTCATATTTAGTGTTGCCTTTGGCTGATTAAAAGCACTTGCCCCGCATGTTTAACATGTGCCACACACACACAATAATGCCCCGCCCCTTTTCACTTGGCCAACGCCTTCTTTTGACGACCCCCAACTCCCTTCTTCACCCCGAAAAGAACGATCATATCTGGCCACAAAATTGATGTTCGATGCTCTCTTTCGCCCGAGGAAAGCTTTTCTTCTGCTCCGCTCTTCCCACGTTTCCCGTACACAAGGGAAAAATTATGATATATTTTATTTTTCTATTATCATATATATTTTTTTATCCCATATAATTTAATTTTTTTTCTTAGTAACAATTTTACCAAATATGTGAAAAATATTTATAAACTTAATAACTTGAATCTTATTCATGAATATTATTTGTATTTAATCTATTCCCTTTTTTTAAGGTGTAATAAATGGAATGTGGGCCAAATGTGCATGGCCCGAGAACCTTCTATCCTCTTATCGAAATTCCTCGATAAACTAAAAAGATAATGGAAAAACACAGGAATGGCAGATAGCATTTGGAGGTGGAAAAAAAGGTGGGAAAATAAGGAAGGGAGCATTTGTCTCCCATTTTCAATTTGTTAGCACACAAAACCTTTTAAGTTCTATAAACTAAATTTATAAGAAATGAAGAATATATTTCATTGAATATTTTAAATTATTAACAATAGACAGGAGTTCTTAACATTTTAATCCTGTTTATAAATTCAATTATTTTTAAATGGACATCATATTTCATTATGGAAAATAAAAGTAAAGCTTCACAGTTTTTCAACTTCAAAAATGTACAATGAACGACAACTGTTTAAAATCAAAGTTGAATAAACTTCAGTGACGAATTATGGCAGATTGTTTTGGTTTCATTGTTGTTTTGAGTTTTAAGCATTGTCTGCGTTTTGTCTACGCTGTGTCTGATTTTTGTTGTTGTTTTTTTAGGGTTCTGAGTGGTGAAAAGGCGGTGGGCGTGGGTAGGGGTAGAAACTGGGTTGTTTTGTGTGGTTTTGGCTGAACGGCTGTCTTATGAAGCTGCATAGTCACGTGCCACGACTTTGAAGTTGGCCCATGTTTTTCGGCAAGTTTGTGCTTGTTCGGTGTGTGTTACACATAATAATGCTGTCGAAATCAGGTCTAAGCTATCGATATCACGTTAAAGAGTTCCCCCAATCGATTGGCGAGCTCACCAATTAACTTCAAGTTATTAGTTTGTAGCAAACTATTTCCTGATTTAAATGCGCTATGATTTGTCCTATTTCCTAAGCATACAAAATTAATAAGTCACAATAATTTTGTAAATTTTAGAGCAAATAAAATTGGGGAACCATTTTAAAGCTACCAAATTAAAAATTTATGAAAATTTTTTGTTCAGCCAACAACAAAACTTTAACGCCCTGCTAATATTTCCATAATGCTTAGTTTTATTGCCTTTTGAAACCACTTTATTTATTTAATATTTAATCGTATTTAAGCGTTCTAAATCCGATTCCTGTCCGTTTGGTCGGCTAAAGTGCCATCTGCTGACCGTTTATAGCCGCGATTCCGGCGGAGGGACAGTCGGCATGCTTGACACAGATTCCTTTCGTAGCGTTTATTGTGATTACTCGAGCTGTTCGCTAATGCAAAAAAACAGCATGGCCTGATCACTACAGTGGCTTCTAAACTGTGCCGCCCACATTGCATCAAATGCACAGCGGAGTCAAAAAAATAAGTAATTTTATAAAATTTGGGAAAATTTCAAATATTTCGTTTCAATTATTTAAATCATGGTTACATAGATACTTATCTTACATTAATTTTTAATATTTATTGAATTTTAATGGATTTTCAAAGCAAAACAACTGCAATTGTAAAATAATAATCAATAAAGAGATCTATTCAGCTTAGGAGCTCATATTTTATTTTATTTGTAAATAATGTCTTAAATTGGTGTTGCTAGTTTCGCTGCCCCCACTGTAAATGCCATTTGCAATCCCGAAATGAGTGTCGAAATGAATTATTACGCATACGCAACGTGCGAACGGCAAGCGGCGAAAATAAATAAATACGCTGGCGTGGAAACAATGAGAAATGTTTAAATTTATGTGCCCGCCCAATTAGATGACAACGCAGTGTCCTTGAACCCATTTTTGCGAAATGCATCTGCATCTGCATCTAGATTTATGCAAGTGAAAAGCGAGGGGAAAACGAGTGAGAGGAAAAGCGAAGAAAAGAGGGAAAATAAGCAGACAGAATGCCTGGCTACTGTCAATTGTCTCAACTTGTTGCACGCGAGTGTGTGTGTGTGTGGGGGAGGGGGTGGGCATCAAGTGGGTCAGTTTGGGGCGGAAGGTCGCCATTTGCACCACCCACTTTTACCACTCCCCGAATAAAATCAGTATGCGTGCATTGAACCCTCAAATGGACAAGGCATTTTTTTAGATTTTTATTCTCCTTGTTTTTTTTTTTTTGCGGCTGCCTGGGCTCATTTCCTGCAAGACAAATTACACATTATTGAGACTGGGCCTGGGCCACTCCCCCTTTTTGGCCAGTCATAAATTTGGCGCACATATGTGTGCTGGCAATTTATTTTCATCATGTTCAAAAATCGCAGCAGACAGGCCAGCCAATTCTCGTTAAATCGATCGCATATACATCCAGAAAAAGGGGGGAAAAAGGGAAACTCTCCTACTCCTTCATCCTCCTCCTCCGAAAGAAAAAGTTATTGACTAACTGACTGACTGACTGACTGCGCACAATTTGTGGCCAAAAGGCACGCCAGACGGCGGTGGGCGGCTGTCCAGGGGGGCGTGGCTGGGCCAAAAACTCTCAGCTCGCAAAGCCACAATAGACTACAAAAAATAAAACAAACACACAGAGGTACAAAAAGAGCAAAATGGAAAGGATGCACCCGTAAAAAAATGGAATTCGGGATGCATTTCCACAAGGTATTTAAATTTAATTGCTAACAAAAATTGTATTCATTACAAGTGATTAAAAATAATTACAGAATATCGAACTGAAATCTAAAATTATTTAATCAATTAGGTACATTTTTTTTGCATTTAAAAATAATAATCAAAAATATAATGCGATGAAATAAATAATCTGAAAAATAAAATTCAGTTAAGAAAATGTCTTTGACATTTGAAAATATTAAAAATAAATACAAATAATCTGAAAATTAAAATTCTTCCATTTACAAAAGTTTATCAATTTTCTTTGTGATATAGTGTTACGTCCCTGCCAAAAAGAGTATCAAGAATTAGGCAGAAACAGACACTGTCTACAAAGGCACATGTGTGTGTCAGGAGCCAACTTTGTGTTTTGGCCACAATTATCACAGAAAAGCGAGACGGCGTAGTGGAAAGCGGGAAAACGTAAAAGGAAATTGGGGGTAGAAACATGTGAAAATTTGATTAAAAACTAGCGTCAAGGTAATTGCCAGACGAATTCCTGTTCCTCGCCCCACAAAACCAAACCAAACCAAAAACAAAAAATATGATAAATAAAAATAAAACGAAAATAGTACTTTAGACGAAAGGCAGTAGGTAGAAAGTGCATCCGAGTGACATCAAGCTGAAGAATCTGGGTCTGTGGAGCAAGTGCAAAGCAATTGACGCCGTAATCCTCCGCCTAGAGAAGATTACGCGATGATGGCCGTCAATCATCATTCCGAGATTCAGCCAGAAATTCCGCTGGG